TATTATAAAAGATACAAATTTCACCCCAACCTTCCTTGCTATCCTAATTAGATTTTCTCCTCCTCTAATAGGAGTAAGAAACCAAATTTGTCATCCAAATGTGTTTATGTGAATACACATGCCTTCATATGCCATATAGAATTTGCTGCTTGATTAAAACAGCTTTGCTATACAGAGATTGATTTATGAAACATGCTCTCTAATATTGGCCTGGTACCATGTTATCATTTTTTTTAATCTTAAATTTTTTTATTAACATATAATGTATTATTAGCCCCAGGGGTACAGGTTTGTGAATCACCAGGTTTATACACTTCATATCACATACCCAATGTCCATAACCCCACCACCCCCATGGTATCATTTTAATGATTTTTCCCCAGCCCATTAAAACTTCCCCCTGCTCCTTTGTAGGCCACAGGAGCACCTGAGATGCACACATCCATTTGTTCCTTAAATTTTTACTGCGCACATACTATATGCTAGGCACTGTATGAGTGGAGAGTCAGTAGTGAATAATGCAGATTCCCTGCTTTCATGCAGTGTATCATGCAGTGTATATTCTCATGGGAGAAACAGACAAGAGCTAAAAAATAATTTTCAAATAGTGATAAATACTAGGAAGAAAAAAAAAGTTTACATGATGTATTGTGTAGGAGGAGGGAGTGATTAAATTGTATAGTCAAGACAGGCTCTCAGAGGAGATGATTTTAAGCTGAAACCTGAATGATAAGGAACGGGACACAAAAAATAGGGTAACAAGCATGCCAGGCCGATGTAACACCACATGCAAAGCCCCTGAGGTGGAAATGACTTAGCTTTATGAATTCCTAAGTAACGTGCATATAAATCCACTCAGTTTATTATTCACTAGATGAGCTCACCATTTGAAAGAAAATGCAGCTGATTCCTTTTTAATGTGTTGATTTAAAAAATCGAATGTAGTGGTTCCACTATTGTGTGCTTAAAAATTATCTGGAGAGTTTGTTAAGATCAGTTCCCCGATCCAAAAAAGCTGAACTTGGGAAAACAGAGTAGAATGGTGGTTACCAGAGGGTCTGGGGTGTAAGGATTGGGGAGGTTGTTTAGGAGTACAGACTTGGAACTAGTAGATAGATCCTGGATGGCTAATGCACAACACAGTGATTATAGAGAACAGTATTATATTAATAAACTTCAGAGTTGCTAAGAGACTGGATTGTTTACTACAAAAAGAAATGATAATTATGTGATGTGGTAGACGTATTAGCTAACACTATGGTGGTAAACATTTTGCAATCTGTGCATCAAATCAATGCATTGTATACCTTATACAGTGTTATATGTCAGTTATATTTCAATTAAAAATATATAGTTTCCTGGACTATTTCCCCAGATATTCTGATTCAGCTCAGGTGAGGCTCACAGATTTTCATTTGTAACAAACTCACAGATGATTCCAGTGCTTCTAGTTTGAGGACCACGCTTTCAGTTTTAACAAATCTATTTTGGGTTTAGTATCCATTTGCTAGAAGTAAAACATGTCAGTTATTTTCTTTCATGTAAAAAATTAACTTGCTCTGCATGCTGTTTATCGTGCAGTTTTTGTAAGTGTAGTGGAAAAGCAGATGAAATGCTAAAGGTAAAAAATAGTGTTTCATGTTGAACTCATAGCATTTATAATAGCTTAATTTCAATATAGCCACTTAATGAAGGATTAATGTCATTTTTCATTTGGAGATAATTTTTTTTTAAGATTTATTTGAGAGTGAGAGCACATGAGCGCACGAGTAGGGGGAGGGGCAGAGGGAGAGAATCTTCAAGCAGACTCTGGCTGAGTGCAGAGCCTGATGTGGGCTCCATCTTATGATTCATGAGCTCTAGACAGCCAAAACCAAGAGCTGGACACTCAATTGACTGAGCCACCCAGGTACTACCCCTCCCCCCTTTTAAAGCATTTGGAGAGAATTTAAAATATTTTTTAAATGCTGGAAGGAATTTAAATGATAGGTTACTAAGAGATATTCTGAAATTATTTTTGTTTCTTGGTTCAGAGATCACATACAGAGAAGTTGTGTGTTAAATCCTGTTAAATCTGGAGACTGTTAGAAGGTTGTGTTTTTCATTATCTGTGCCATTCAGGAGGATGCTCATGGGAAGGAGGTGGAGAAGGGAAGAGGAACATTAGGCTAGTGGCCATATCAGCTCAAACCATTCTGGTCAGCAGGAGCTTTGCTGCAGTCATACAGCCTATATGACATAATGTCAAGCCCATGCACACCTGCTCCTTGTAATTGTTGCCAGGAGAGGAATTTATAAACACCTTGCTGGTGCTTTGGACAGTGAGACTTTAGCAGCATCGGGGATAACATGTGAAGGATGACACTAAGAACAACCAAAGGTTATCCAGCATTTACTATGTGCTATTGCTCTAAGTGCTTTAGATGATTAACTAATGTGACCCCATAACAAATACATGAGGTAGAGAGTAACATTTCTACTTTATAGACAGGAACTGAGGCAAAGAGTAAGTAATTTAGGTTACCAGGCAGAAAGTAGAAAAGCTGGGATTCAAAGCTGAAAATTTGTGTTCATTCTGATTCCTTAAACAATGTACTATATAGTGCTTCATATTTGGAGAAAAATCTCCAAATCAAAGGTTTTCAGAATTTGTGTCTATAGACCAGGTTAAAATGAGGTATCTGATTCTTTCTCTGCATATCTTTTAAGTTCTAACACAGGAATTCCACAATGTCTATTTTGTAATCTTTCTGCCTGGGTCTGATGAGAAGACATCCCAAATGATGACAGAGAGAGGAAGACTATTGGTGTAGTCCACACAGAGAGAAGTTCTGTACTACTTCCTAATGTGTAGTCCACACAGAGAGAAGTTCTGTACTACTTCCTAATGTGTGATCTTGGGCAAGTCATCAAAATGTTCTGAACTTAAGTTTAGTACCCATAAAAGCATTACAATGTTTACCCCACAACACTGGATAATTAAATGAGGACTTTGACCACTGATGCAAATATGTACTGCAATATTTAGATGTCCTGGTGAGTAGACCCTTTATGCATAATTTATGGGATTTTCTTGGGTCATTCCTATAGGATTTTTACCTTATCTGCTGGCATCAGAATTCTTGATTAAATGCAACTCCACATTTTTTTTTAAGTTTTTTAAAAAAATATTTATTTATTTGACAGAGAGAGGGAGATCACAAATAGGCAGAGAGAAGGGGAAGCAGGCTCCCCGCCGAGCACAAAGCCCGATGCGGGGCTCAATCCCAGGACCCTGGATCATGACCTGAGCAGAAGGCAGAGGCATAAACCACTGAGCCAACCAGGCGCCCCTCCACTTTTTTTTTTTTTTTTTTTTTTTCCAGGAGAAAATCAAATTTAATTGTGTGTGCATGGAGAAGCCACCTGAACATGAGATCCCATCTCTACTGTAAGCCTGTGGACAAGTGAGCTAGTATCTTTATGGGATCTCCTCTTGCTGTTTCGACAGGCGGGCTTAGGAGGGCACACCATAACCAGGGAGGTAAGTCGTAATAGCTGCCCAGATAATACTATAGAAAATTCTTGCTAATAAAAGCTACAGTTAGGGCAAAATGGCAATGGAGACCAATAGAGTTCCAAAAGCAACTGTCAGCTGATCATCCAGCAGGTATTTTGTTTTTATTTACAAAGCAAATGCAGTTTTTGTCAACCCAACATAATGGCCTATGTCACATCTGGTTTTGACAACAACCAGAAATACTATCTCAAGGGTTCCTAAAGCATTTCATTTCAAAGTTTTATATTTATTAGAATAATTCCTTAAATAATTTTTAGGTATTTATTTTTAAAGATAGTTGAGTTTACCCATGTTAAAAAGAGGTAAAATACTAAAATGAGTAAGAATTGCATAAATATATAGAGATAACAAAATTTTATAGATGCCTTTCCTATGTGACTTAGATCCTAAAATCAAAGGAAGAGAATCAGGAAATAGAAAAGTGCAAAGGAGATAAATGACTAATGAATTGTCATAACTTTTATTTGATTATTTTCATTTACCTGGCACACTTTTTTTAAAAAAAGATTTTAATTTTATGTAAAGATTGAACTTCAATAAAATAACTTAAAAAATTTACATATACATCACTAAGTTTCCATAAAATATACAATACTTTTGATACAGCTATAGGCTAGAATGACTTTGAAGGGAATGATACATAGTCATAATTTTTAAGAGATCCCCCATATATCACATGTAAGAATAAATATTTATATTGAATTTTCTAAGACATGTGAAGTATTAAATACTATATAACATGCAATCAAATTAAAATATACATTTTGAAATACATATTTTAAAAGCATAAAACTCTTGATTTAATCTAGATGTACATTAGAGCTTCTAAATAGAAATTTGAACATTAATTACAAATAAAGATACTATAACATCAAATGTGATATATAGTCCAAAGCCTTTAGGAACCAGTTTGGACATGTAGAATATAAAGTTCTACTTTGGCTAGAGTTAAGTCTCATTTTTTTTTTTTTTAACCTTCAAATGAGATGGAATGATGTTAAATTTACTAAAATTGTAAAACTTCACAAAATATCGGTTTGTAAGTACTTGTAAGCTGCATTCCTTTTTCTCATACTGGTATGACAAAAATCAAACACATGAACTTAACTGTGTGGAATAAATATGTGAATATTACTGCTAAAGAAAGTTATTGAACATTCCATAGACAAATTACTCAAGTGCAAGACTGCTTTATACATATAAAGATTTATAGGAAGTACACCGTTCTACACTCATAGGCAAATTAAGAGGATAAAATTCTCTCGTGTATTTCTGAACATCATTAACACTCTTACAAAATATCTCTTTGATGATTACTGGCACACAAATATTTCCCCCTCTAAAAGACAATGTAAAAGAGAGTTGGTAGCAGTTAGCTATTTGGCATTTTAAAATGATTGCTATTTCCAGAAAACAGCAATATTTCTCACCCAGAAGAACTGAATGTACTCATAATTGATCTGTTGTTACCAACTGATCACTTCATCAAACTAGCTTGACATTTTTGTACATGAGGCTAAGAAAACTGATAAAAAAGAAAACAGCGCATTAAGTCTTTTCATAGGCAGCAGCTATATATTTTATCCACTGTTTAATAGATTCTGCTATAAAGCACATGTTATAAATTCTCTGTCATGGGCCTGCTAGGTCATTTTTTTATTTGCAGTTAGTAAAAAGATATAAACTGAAAACTTGTTGCAACATCTGTATAAATATAAGTTGTTAGGTGCTTAGTATAATTTGAGATTTTCTAATCAGGAAAACAGTAAAAAAAAAAATAGAACTGATCATAACAAAAATCTCATTATTTCTTCTTAATTACTGCGCCAATGTGATAAAAACAATCCTTCAACTCCCTCTCACTATATTACGGTATTTTAAGCCATATTAGTGTCATTAAGCTGTGAGACTTGCTTAGGTAAGATATAGATAATATTTTTTTAGAATATCCCCCCCGAGAATCTATAATTACATTTTAATTTTACTTTCACTTTCCAATATAAAAGCCAAAGGGTAAGTTGTCAGTTTACATTTTTCCTCTTCATTGTTCCTCTAGGCAATGGATTTTGAAACGATAGTAAGCAACTTCTAAATTTTTTGCTTTAATTGAATTCTCATTTTAGAGTAACTTAAAAAATAATATTTAGACTCCATACACTAAAATCTAGCTCAGTGGTAAAATAAAATTATGAAAAAGCACTTGACAACATTACTGTCATAGCATTTTCCATCAGGGGACTAATTATTGCATATGGCTGGGAACAAAATTACAAACAGAAATACTACCTTTTAAATTTAGTTTTGATTTAGATCTTTTACAAATACATTAAAAATAATGTTTTGGGTAATTAATTACTAAGTTGCAACAGTCAAAATTATTAGGAATGCTTGTGTTGAAGAAAAATTATTAGGAATGCTTGTGTTGAAGAAAAATATTAATACCAAATCTTTAAAATATATCTGACAGCACATTCAGCCCTATGTGTTCAAATGGAGATGAAGGATTATATTCTCTTAGTCTATGGCAGATCTCATCAGCCACCAAGCTAAGCCTCAAATAGGGGTTACGACTTTCTTTACTACGTGTTCCTAAAACATAATAGGTCTCTATTGAATTTGCAGCATGCTTAGAAGGAAACCTTAATTTTGGTTAAAAGCATGATGCTTAATCTGTTATAATATGGTAGGTCAAATCATACCATATATAAATTGTCCTACAAAATATACATTTGATGGTATTTCAAATGGAATGTTTTCAAGTTGGTAGTGGTAGCCAAAGATGCTGAGAACTTAAAAGGTACATAATATAAAAAAACCTGCAAAATTCAAATACTTAATTTTTAATATACTATAAAGGTTCACCAAATCTAAAAATAATAATCTAATTGTATAAGGTTTAAGTAGTTTTTAAAAAAATTATAAATAATCTTTATACTGTGCCAACTGTCTTGTACTTCAAAGATATGGAATATTGTCTTTATATAAATAACAAATAGTCCTTTAAAGGAGCGGTTGAGGAGACTAAGGGACAATGTGGCTAATCTTCCCTGCTATTAGGTGCAGTTATGGATATAAAGTTGAATATACCATTTGCTTATGTCAGGGAGAACAGGCCATGTTCTGCTTCAAGAAATAATAAAAGTCCAGTTGCTCCTTTAATAAAGTTACTGTGCATTCAGCACAGTTGAGTACATAAGCATATAGTTAAGGCTATTCATGTAATAAAGAGAAGAATTGAGGCAATTTGGATAAATCAGAAAAATACATTTATAGAGAGCACTTTATTGGTCTAAATATTTTTTCTTCCCATCATATTCTGATTTTACCATGCAATAGCTCATTTTCCACCTTACCTGTGTGAAATATTATACAGATAAGAGATTTCTTATGGGATAAGAAATATCAGTGATTTTCTCTATTAAATCACATCTTTTCTGGGGGAAAAGATCAATATTAATATCCTCTTAGAAATCAACTGTCAGAGCACCTAATTCAGGGGAAAACAACTCTCTAAAATTTTTTTAATATATGAAATGATCAAAGGGAGGAAACTTTTTTTTGGCTGAAGGATCTTTAGGCCAGTAAAATGACAGTTCAAGCGCTTACCATACTCCTGGTGGCTATGAGAACAAACGTCCTTGGCTACATTTTCAGTTTTGATAATAGTGCTAGGAATAAGCCAGACTTCAAGCGAAGAACAGAACATCTCGGAGACTGGCAGAAACACAATGAATTTAGAGATAGCCATCTTTTCACTCCAAAGAGTACCTTATTAGAAGTTTAGAGCCATATTATAGTCCATCAGACTTACATATTCCTATCTGGCCACAGACAATTCATTCATATTTTCACTGGAACTAGCAAGTAATTTTGTATATTCTGAATAGCTCTCAAGAGCAAAAATTAGAGTTCGTTGATGAATAAGCATAAAAACCAACAAACATTTTGAGAAGACATTGGAGCAATGTATACTATATTAGAACCATTAATCTGTTCCAATAGAAAATCCCAATTTTTAGACAAGAAGGAAAAGAGTCCAAGCAAGTATGAGAAAAAGGAAACACCCACAGACAAATCTATGTATCTTTTTTTGATAAACTGTCAGGGAAAATGAGAAAAGGGCGTGCAAAATAAAAATGAGTTTATGTTCTTAAAGTAAAAAAAAAAAGACTAGTACTATTAAGTAATGTCACAGTTCCCTTAAGAGTGAATAAAAAACTAAGGAAAAAATAAGTCCCACTATTTAATTAAACAAAACATCAGTAACAGCTGGATTATCTGTCACTGATTTTCTTTCTTTTTTGCTTCAGGAATTACTCGATTAAAAGAAGGGGGAAAATAGGCTGCTGGCAGCAATTTATATTGACACAAATGAAGGCACAAATAGTAGGACTCCAGAGGTGATGAGTGAAGGCATGGTAAGCATCAGGAGATTTTGGCATGAACAGAAACCCTGAAACACAGTCAAAGATCTGGTGCTATTTTGTGTTTATAGTTGCATACCTAAGTGACTAACTCAAATCAGGGATCCATAAAAATGTTTTCTTTCTTACTTTCTAGCAATAAAATATACTTATCAAAACTTGCTAGCTTATCTGTGCAAATGTATACTTATCACCAATGCAAAAAATATGTATGAAAATAAACCCTAAAAGACCTGCTTTTCATAAGTGTTCAAAGGGTCCTGTGCAGAGTCAGTTTCTGAACTCTCAAGATCTGATTTGGAGAGAGAGACCCAAAAGTGGAATCCACAAGAGATAAGGACAATTGTGCCTCTGTATGAGGTACTTTTGAATTTGTTGAAAGCTTAAACAGAATCTTTCTAATAGCTGATCACAGATAAGCTACTTGTCCTTAGGAAAATTTAGGGCCAACAGGCCATGTTTTGACAGAAAACACCCTCGAATCTTATCCCAGAATCTTTCTTCATAAGTATATCATACAATTAAGCTAGATTAGCACTGATTCTACTGCCACTAATAATTATATATGGTTTTAGGAAAAAAGGATACCACTGAAGTCACTGGATACAATATTCATTTTAGACTACCTCAGGAAGGAATTACATACATTTGTTCAGTAATTATTAGTTTAAAATCTCTAAATATTGTTTTACATTTCTGCTTGTGAAAAAAAAAATGTCATCATGGTTGTATCTTCCTCCTAATCAAATATTCTAGATTATGAGGTCATTCAAAACTAGACTGTGGAAAGAACCAGATAAAAGCAGGGCACTGAGGTCACCAATTGCTGCTTTTGTCCCCCAGGTTTGTTTAAATACCTAAATAAATCAGCATCTGAAAATTATTCCACATCAGAAGCATCGTTGTCAGAAAGATGATAGTTACTTCCCTTCACCCGAATATATTCAATATATCTCCCTTCATCAGAATCTGAAGCGCCACATGTACATAACCTGTTGTCAAAGAGTGATTCGATTTCTTCTAATTTTTTCCCTTTGGTCTCGGGAAGACAGCCATAGACGAAAATGAGTCCCACACCAGCAAATCCAGCATAAAGGAAGAAGGCTCCTGCAACGGAAAATAATACGTATTTGTAGGTACTGTCTATGTTGGAAAGAGTACTTGATTTTGACTTTTCTTTCTGGTCAGTTGTGCCCAACTGGTCTGACATGGATCAAGAAATAACTACCAGCCTGCTCTTTACTGTTACTGTTCGAGCTCTAGGAACATAATACAATGTATTATTAGCATGTAATGTCTAACTAACTCAAGAGGAATGATAAACTGGGTTCAGATATAACTTCTGCTTTGAATCTCTCCTTACTTCCCTGGCTAGAGATCATTGTTCTCTCCTATGTATTTTTAAAGCACTTTGCTGAGGCCCCCATCATCGTTCTTAAAAAGTATTATAATTGTCTGCATGAATTTGTGTCTGTCTTGTCTGCTAGACTGTAGGCACTTTGAGGGAGATGGGTTCTTCTGCTTCAAGGGCTGAGTCTGTATGGTTTGTTTGTGTTTGGGTCCCCAGTGCCTAGAATGGTACCTGACACATTGGAGGGTATAGAAATAAATGTGCTCTTGTTCACTGCCAGATGGAATACACCGGGTAAATAGATCTGAAATGAAGGGCTAAACTAGAAAATATAAAGACATATTTCAAAAATTAAGCTTTAAGCAAAACAGAGCAGTTAAAGAACTGAATAATATTTCTCAGTTCTGTTGAATCATTACAGAATGGGAAAGACTTTTTTTTTAAGATTTTTTTTTTAAGATTTTATTTATTTATTTGACAGAGATGCAGGCAGAGAGAGAGAGGAGGAAGCAGGCTCCCTGCTGAGCAGAGAGCCTGATGTGGGCTCGATCCCAGGACCCTGGGACCATGACCTGAGCGGAAGGCAGAGGCTTTAACTCACTGAGCTACCCCGGCACCCCTGGGAAAGACATTATTAAGGCTACTTTTTTTTTTTTTTTTTTTTTAATTTGACAGCACTAGTAGGCAGAGCGGGGCGGGGGAAGCAGGCTCCCCGCCAAAGCAGAGAGCCCGATACGGGACTTGATCCCAGGAACCTGGGATCATGACCTGAGCCGA